TGTATTAAGAAGGCTCCAGGGAAGAGGAAGCCTTAGAAACAATCTGAATTTGTTGTTGTTTTGTTTTTTGAGACAAGAGTCTCACTGTGTAGCCTTCATTGGCCTGGAAGTTGCTATGTCGACCAGGCTGGCCTCGGACTCGGACAAATCTGCCTGCCTCTGCTTCCTGAGTGCTGCGATTAAAGGTCACCATGGACAGCTAGGCTGGATTCGAGTGGACAGATGGTGTCAGGGCACAGCGGAGGTTTTAGCATGGGCAGGGGCGCTGGGCAGGAGGAGAGGGATGGCCCCACGTGGAAAGGTCGCTGAGTGTGGAGGACAGGAAAGTTCTGTAGTCACAGCACCGTGTGCCTCAGGACTGAGAGAAGAAAGCCTCCCAGGAACTCAAAAGCAGCGTAGTTCACTCTGAGTGCAGTGACCTCGGACAGCACTCCAGAGAGGCAGGTGTGCTGTCTGTGGCCAGGGAATACCTGGCTGAGCCACATTGCAGCTACAGCCCAGGTCAATGACATTTCATAACATGTCGCTGCCTGCCTGCTGACCCACACAGAAGGCCTATGATAAGGAGGACTGCTTCTTCTTAGGAGGCCACACTCCAGAAGCACTTAACCCCAGCCCGAGTATGCAGCCTTAGGTATCAGGTGGTCAGGGCACCAGGCCAGGGAGGCCCCCCTACCACCTCATGAGTAACATGCCCAGGGGTGCTCCCAGCTTCTGAGTTCCAGGGATAGAGGCCTGGCTGGCTGCCACATGCTTGGGTAGATAGAGATGTGGAGGCAGAACCAAGGTGCTGAAGTCAAATGCTGGACATTCTGGTTGGGGGAGCTATCTCCTGGCCACACAGATCCACGTCAATTCCCCCGTGCTGAGGTTTGTCTGTCCAGCACTTGGCCCAGGAAGCTCTTAAGGGCCTTCCGATAATTTGGTACGCACCAGAAAATGTTCATATTTGCTCAACAAGAAAGGACAAACCTACCTTGTTTCTTGATGCCTGTTCTTCTCATTTTAACATTTTCTTTGCAAATACAGATATTTTCTTTGCATATAAAAAAAGCATATAAAACTACGTATATAACAACTATTAACATCTAACCTTGGGAGCTGGAAAGATGGCTCAGTGGTTAGAGGGTTTGTTGCTCTTGCAGAGGACCAGAGTTCAGACCCCAGCACTCGCATCAGGCAGCTCCCAGCAGCCTGTAACTCTGGGGATTTAACCCTGCTCTTCGGGCCTCTTCAGGTGCCTGCACACATGCCCCCAGCACCACATGCACAAATCATTTCACTCTAACCCTTATGTAAATCTTCCCATGGCTAGGCGTCTGCGTGAGTGAGTGCTTCCGTTTACTCCTCACGACAATCCAGCACAGAATGAGAGTGGTGGTGCAGACCTGGGGTCCCAGGATCCAGATAGCGGAGGCAGGAAAGTTCAAAGTGCAGGGCAAGCCCCAGCTACAGAGTAAACCCAAGGTGAGCCTCATCTACAGGATAGCCTGTCTACAAAACTAAACACTCCAAACCACAATCTATCTACCACATTTACCTGTTTTACAGATCAGGAAACTGAGGCATGGAGAGTTAAGTAATTTGTCCCAGAAAGTCTGGAACCAGATTTTTTTTTTTTTTTTTTTTTTTTAGAAAGGATATTACTGTGTATTCCTCTTTGGCCTCAAACTCACTATGTAGAACAGGCTAGCCTCAAACTCAGAGGCTTGCCTGCTTCTGCACATATACCCCATATAAATTTTTTTTTTAAAGAATGTCTTTTTTCCCTTTTATAGGATTTCCTGAGAATTTATTATATCCTCCTAATATGTGAGTAGTCATTCATACTCATGTTTTTCTTTGAGACAGGGTCTTGCTATATTTTTAGCCCTGGCTGTCCTAGAACTCGCTGGGCCTCATGGCTGCCTGCCTCTGCCTCCCGAGTGCTGGGATTAAGAGAGTGTGCCACCCCACCGGACCTCATATTTTTTTTTTTCTTTTTTAAGGCAAGATCTCACTATGTAGCCCTGGATGGCCTAGATCTCACTCTGTAGACCAGGCTGGCCTCGAACTCACAGAGATCCTTCTGCCTCTGCCTCCCAAGTGCTGGGATTAAAGGGGTGCGCCACCACATCCAGCTCTCTTCCATATTTTTTATTCACTCCTCACTACACATAGATGCAGAGACCTAACATTTCTAACTGCATATACATATACAAATTTTCCTTTTGTCATTATTTGAAGATAGCAAATTGTAGCAAATAGACCGTCCGCATCTCACTTCTCTTGCTCTTTCCCTGGAAGCTCCCGGCAGTCGGTGTAGTGTTTATGACTGAAGTGCCGAGAACGACCCCCAGGCTTCCTGTCGGCTAAGCAGACAGTCTGCCACTGAGATGCACATCCTGGGCCCACAGTACCTTTAAAAGTTATTTATGTTTTTAGTTTTTATTATTTTCTGTGTATGAGTGTTTCACTTGCATGTACATGTACCACATGTGTGCCTGAGGAGGCCAGCAGAGGGCGCTGGATCTCCAGAAACTGGAATTACAGATGGTTGTGAGCCACCATGTGGATGCTGGGAAACAAACCTGGGTCCCGTGCAAGAGCAGCCAGTGCTCTTAACCTCTGTCATACCTTTAGCTCATTTTTTTTTTTTTAAAGATCTGTTCATTTTTATTTTATGAGCATTGGTGTCTTGCCTGCTTGTATGTCTGTGAAGGTGCCAGATACCCTGGAGTTGGAGCTACAGACAGTGGTGAGCTGCCATGTGAGTGCTGGGAATCGAACCCAGGTCCTCTGGAAGAGCAGCCAGTGCTCTTAACCACTGAGCCATCTCTGCACCCCCCCCACCCATTTTTTAAATTAACATTTCACAACTGTACATATTTGTGGGATGGCACAATCATTCAGTACGTGCAAACAATTACCAACAGGTCAATTACCATTTCTGTCTTTTTTTTTTTTTTAAAGATTTATTTATTATGTATACAGCATGTATGACTGCAGGCCAGAAGAGTGCACCAGATCTCATTACAGATGGTTGTGAGCCACCATGTGGTTGCTAGGAATTGAACTCAGGACCTCTGGAAGAGCAGTCAGTGCTCTTAACCTCTGAGCCATCTCTCCAGCCCCCATTTCTGTCTTCTTGAACGTCTATCGTTTCTTTGTATTTAGAACCTACCAACTCTTCTACTTCTCTATAAAATATATAACAAGTAGCTAATGAGATCGCTCAGTGGTTACAGGGCCCGCCTCCAATCCTGACAACCTGAATTCAGTCTCCAGAGCCCACAGCAGAAGGAAAGAACCAACTACTCCAAGTTGTTCTCTGGCCACCATTACAGTGTTTGGCAGTGCCTTCCATGCTCAAAATGACGTTTGTTGTTGTTGTTGTTGTTGTTGTTGGTGGTGGTGGTGGTGGTGGTGCTTTTTCGAGACAGGGTTTCTCTGTGTAACCCTGGCTGTCCTGGAACTCTTTTTGTAGATCAGGCTAGCCTCAAATTCAGAGATCTGCCTGTCTCTGCCTCCTGAGTGCTGGGATTAAAGGGTATGTACCACCACATCTGGCTCAAGATCAACTTTAAAATACACACACACACACACACACACACGCACACGCACACGCACACTCGTGCGTGCATGTGTGTGTGTGTGTGTGTGTGCATGTGTGTGTGTGTGTTTTATGGAGGAAGAATGTGTGTTTTATGGAGGAAGAATGGATTTGGGGAGATGGAAAGTGGTGGGAAGGAAGAAGGGGGAACTATGTTCCAGATGCAATATATGAGAGAAGAATAAAAAAAAATATTTTTTTAAACTGGGAGTAGTGGTGCACACCTTTAATCCCAGCACTGGAGAGGCAGAGGCAGGTGGATCTCTGTAAGTTTGAGGAAAGCCCGATCTACATAGTGAGTCCCAGTCCAGCAGGAGCTTCATAGTGAGACCTTGTCTTGAAAAATTGGAGACAGGGTTTCACTATGTAGCCTTAGCTTACGAGGAATCCATTATGTAGCCCAGGCTGGCCCTGTGCCTGTGTGGATGTATGTGCACCACATGTATGAAGAGCCCATGGAGATCAGAGGAGGGCATCAGATCCCCCGGAGCTGGAGTTACAGGCGGTGGGGAGCCGTCATTCGAACGGGCTCAGTTTCATCATTGGAAACTGAACCCAGGTCCTCTGGAAGAGCAAGCAGCCAGTGCTCTTAACTGCTGAGCCATCTCTCCATCCACCCAAGATCAACTCTTTTTTACTCATAATACAAAATTTTATTTGTATTTCATTAGTGTGGAAAGACCACAATGCTTCTCATACTACACCACTTAGGACAAGCCAAGTTATTCAAGTAAATACCTATTTACCTTGACTAAACAAAACAGTGCAGTTCAATAAAAGATACACCAAAGATAGAGTTCACAAATTTCTTATCAGACCCCCCACCAAAAAAAAACCCCAAAACAAGAAAACTTGAACAGTCTAGGCTTAATAGGAATAAACTTCGCCATCAGTGGGAGGAGTCCATCATTACAAAGATACGGGATGCTCAGGAGATGCATGTGTGTTCATTGATAGAGTAAAATGTAACTCTTAAAATCCCTTCAGACAAGATTTCTGTAGGACAGCAGTGTGGTTTTAAAAATCTTTTCTATAGCTTCAAAAATTTGTCTTCTTTATTTTTATTTTCTTTATTCCCTCTCGTGATGCTGGGTACTGAAGCCAGGGCCTCGTGTGTCGGGCGAATGCTCAAACCCTGAGCTACACTCCCTGCCCAAGTCTTTTCTCTATGGATCTTTGTCGTTCTTAAACGCGTGTCTCGGCCACTGGGAGACCCTCAGGTTCCGCAGCCACAGGACCCAGTCCCATCCAGCCTGCTACCTAGGAAAACCTCTCACTACATAACCCATAGAAAACCCCATGGCAGCTGTAGGGAGCTTCGTTTTGGGGCAGACACACCCCAGACCTCAGGGTGCTACAGCCGGGAAAGGCTCGTAAACAAAGAAAAGGCAGTTGTCATATCTCCTTCTTCCAAGATCAACTTTTTAAAGTTCCGTATCAAAGCCAGTGTTTCCAACAATGGATCTTCTCACCTGATGGCCCTGCTCATGTTTCTGTCTCCATGCTTGCTTCTTTAATTCAGTATGTTCTGATGCTGGAAATTCCAGGCCAGGAGGGAGGAAAGTACACAGCAAGAAGTATTTCTAGCTGAGTCTTGCTGGTCCTGTCCTGGGTGGCCAGGAGCCCCTAGACCTCTAGAGACAGGAATGCTGACAGTGTAATTGTGAGATCATTTGCATAGTGTGAGGTATTTTGCATAAGATGGCATGATTTGCATACAGGGAGGAAGACCTCTTTAAAGTCTCAGCGTGGCATCGCTAAACATCTCCTCCTGGCAACGAATCTACTGGGCATTCTGTTTCAGAACTTCCGTAAGGACTCAGAAGCACATCCTGGGAGACATATGGGGCTGGTGGGGAAAGCCAGACAGGAAGCATTTGAAAGGCGCTGGTAGTCTAGAAAGCACAAATGTAAAGAGTGTATTAGCTGGGCATAGTGGCGCACACCTTTAATCCCAGTGCTTTGGAGGCAGAGGCAGGCAGATCTCTGTGAGTTTGAGGCCAGCCTGGTCTACAGAGTGCGTTCCAGGACAGCCAGAGCTACACAGAGAAACCCTGTCTCGGTTGGGGGGGAGAAGAGTAAAAACTGTTGGGAGTGTAGCTAATCGAGGGGCATTTATAATGCCCTTGGTGCCAGCACGGCATAAATGGCGTGTGGGAGTGCACACCTATAATCAGAAGGTCCAGAAAGTCTAGATCATCTTCTGCTACAGATCAAGTTCAAGGATGGTCTAGGATGAGACCTTATATCAAAAAATACAAATAAATAGACCAGGGGTGGTGGCATAAGGCTTTAATCCCAGCACTGAGGAGGAAGATGTAGGCAGATCTCTGTCAGTTCGAGGCCAACTTCATCTACATAGCCAGTTCCAGGACAACCAGGGTTACATAGAACCAGTCTCAAAATGAAACAAGTTAAACCAATAAACAACGGACAAACATATATGTAACACACACACACACACACACACACACACACACACACACACACACACACACACACACACACACGGTAGGTGAGGCATCAGCTGCGATGTGTTCAGTCTGCTCTCAGAGCACCCAGAAGGAAAAAGTGACCAGCCACAGACATAGAGAGCTGCCATGGGCAGTGAGGGCTGAGACCAGAGACTCAAGAGACCCTCACTCTGCCACAGTCTGCCCAAGGGAGTCCTCATCTGGCCTCGGCTGAATGTTCTCCTGAGCCGGTTGCTGGCTAATTCCCAGATAGGAAGTAAAGGGGATTTTAGGCCACACTTGCACCTGTGTTCCGGCTTAGACACGAGACGGCTACCACAGGCCCTAGGTAGAGGTACATCCAAGTTGAATTCTGGCCCTGCCATCTCTGTGGCTGCCTGGCCCTAGGCCAACCATCACTAGCCATCTGGAGGCTAAAAATGAGGATTTGCTGAGATAACTCACGTTACCGGGTGGCACACAGTGGGTTTCAGTCAAGATACACCAGATCAGAGCACTACAGTAATGATTGCCAGTAACTGCTCCGGTAGTCTAAGAAAGAGTCCAGGCCCAGCGTGTGTCGGGTTAAGAGAACAGAGCCCACGGTGGCCAGGCTTGAAATTCCAGGGCACAGGGGCGAGAAACATGTATCGGACCTCAAAGGGTTACTGTCCTGGAGACAGCGGCCTGAGGTTCCAAGTGAAAAACCAAAGCATAAAAATAATTCGATGAGTAAGAATAAAATTCCCTCTTCTGAGGTAGCGGGGCCAGGCCCCTCCTTGCGGCAGGCACTTCCCCTTTTCCCAGCTCATGGAGGAGCCAGGCCCGCGGGGCGGACTCGAGAGAGCCACAGCCAGGCCCTCATCCCGGGACGGGGCGGTCTGGCGGCCGCGCGCGCCCTCGCGTGGCCACCGCTGGGACTGCAGCCCCAGGAGGGAGGCGGCCGCCGCTCTCAAGCCCCGCCGCCCCGGGGATCGCGGTCCCCGCGTGGCCGCCGCCCTCGCCCTCGCCTCGATGGACTCAACGGCGGTGCCCGTGGGGGCTACCCACTTCCGCCCTGCCCTCTCCGCAGCCCCGTAATCCGGCCCGAGCGGAAGTGCGCTGACCGTGCGGGTCCCCCCTCTCTAAGAAGCGGAAGCGCCCCCCCGCCGCCGCTCCGTCTAGCCCCCCGGTGCCGGGCGCGTCGGGTTCCGGGCTGTCCCGTGTGACGTGGCTGCACGGCCGGGGGTGGCTCCGGGCCGGGGGGCCTGGTGGCGGGGCTGGGCGAGGCAGAGCCGGGGCGGGGCGCGAGACTGCAGCTGGATGGCCGGGCCCGCCCGGAGCGCTGCAGCTGCCGCCGCCGCCACCGCTGCCACCGCACGGTGAGTGATCGCCGGACCCTCAGGGCCCCGCGTCCGGGGCGGGATGGACCGTGTCGGTTCCCAAACCGGTCGCGCGGCTCGTCCAGAGTCTAGGAGTGGAACTTGCCTGCTTTTGACGCTTCCTTACCCCTGTCGTCCCACACTCTGCCCCTCATCTTCCCCCGCTGCCCCGCTTCTTGTCCCCTCCTTCCACCAGACACTCTGGCTCACTTTCTTGACTCCTTTCTCTTCATACCCCATACTTCTCGGCTAAATCTGTGGTCCCCTCGCCTCTGCATGACCCGCCAAGGACTTGACCTGGCTAGGGCCTGCCTTGGTCCAGTGAAGCTTTGCTTCTTTTTTTTTTTTTTTTTTTTGGTAGTGGTGGTGGTGGTGGCTGTAGGGGGTCTCACTAATTAAGGCCTGCAGATCCCAGACATAGGCTTCTAGTCCACCAACCAGAGGCAGATGATTTCTCTCTTCCCATCCATTAGCAAATGAGGAAACTGAGGCAGTTCAAGGTCACAGTCAGTATAAGACAGGGCAGACCACATTTAAACTTTCCAGAGTGAACTTCTTGCTTGGTTGACTCACATCCCCATCCGGTGATCTGTCTGCAGAACACATTCCTTCAGGGAGTGCTTCAGGCCTCCTCTGGCACACAGAGGGCTTATGTTCCCTCCTCCATGCCAGCAGCTACCTGCATTATCAAGCTCATCTCATATCCATAGCTCTGTGAGGGAGGCATTACCCAGCTCCCTTGCCTGATGAAAACACCGAGGCTGCACGAATTGTCTACAGTCAAACAGCTTAAAATCTCGATCCCCAAATTAGTTAGCCACAAGTCACCATATCTTGTGGCTCTGGCATCTGTGAAGCATCTCTCCTCTGCCCCACTTGTCTCTTGGTACCCAAGAGATCATTTAGGAGGAAGAGGTTTGGACCACTGCTCAGTTTCCCCACCTGTGCGCCTCAGCGCTACCCCATCGAGCTAGTCAGTGCTGGCCTTAGACCCTGGAGTGTCTTCACAGGCACATCCTGGCAGCCTCTCCTGGCAGCTGGAGACACCCAGCAGGGATGGGCCCTCCGGTGACTGAAGAAAACCTAGCCAGTGCCTCACCCAGTCATTAGGGAAAGCTTAGCCTCCGGCGGACACATTGACACACAGGCTGGAGCCAGCTCAGAAGGAAAGTATGTGTGGTTCTTGGAAGAAGTGTAGAGGAGCAGAGAACCCCTTTGCTCTGTGCTCCCACTGTTGGGACTCTGTGTCCTCTGCGGAGCAAGCAGGAGGGTGATGCCATGGCCGCTTGAGACGGGGGAGGAGATGCTGTGCTTCTTAAGTGGGTATGTGGTCCAAGGAGACAGCTCATATAAGCAGTCTTTTTGTTTTCCAGCACCTGGCATGCCTGGATGTTCCTGCCCTGGCTGCGGTATGGCAGGCCGAAGGGTCCTCTTCCTCACTGTCCTTGCCCTGGAGCTCTTGGGAAGGGTTGGAGGTTCTCAGCCAGCCCTCCGGAGCCTGGGGGCCGCAGCTGCCTGCCGCCTGGATAATAAAGAAAGCGAGTCCTGGGGGGCTTTGCTGAGTGGGGAGCGACTGGACACCTGGATCTGCTCCCTCTTGGGCTCTCTCATGGTTGGGCTCAGTGGGGTTTTCCCCTTGCTGGTTATTCCCTTGGAGATGGGGACCATGTTGCGCTCAGAAGGTGAGTGACCCTTCAGTGGCCCTGAGAATCAGCTCGAAGCCGGGGAAATGTGCTGCTTGCTCTTGGGAAATGCTAGGTCTCATGTACCAGATACGGTGTATCTGGGATGGAGATCAGTGTCACCTTGGTCCTGTGGGAATAAGGTGTCCATATTCACCTGTTCATCCATGCATGCATCTGTCTCTTCTTTCATTCAGCAACCACTCCCCAGACTCAGTATGAACAGTGGCTGGCAATATGGCTGCCACACTACCTGGGCTCAAATCCTGGCTCTGCCACTCACCAACTAAGTAGAACATGAGGCAAGTTACTTAACCTCACTCTGCCTCAGTCTGCCAGACTTGAAAGTAGGGATCATAAGTCGGAGCATGTAGTTCAGTAGTAGAATGATTGCCTGCATGTTCAAGGCCTGGGTTCAATCCCCAACACCGACACACACCAACACACACCGACACACACACACACACCAGTGAAAACAGTACCATTACTAACTTGTGAGTTTTAGATGGAGCACTTGGAGGGTTGCCTGGTACAGGGAAGGGGCAGGTGTTGAACCCTGGGTACAAAGGGGAGCAAGTGCTGCCTCCCCTCCAGTTTCGGTTGGTGCTGTAAAGGCTAGGGATGTAATGCAGTTGGTATTGTACTTGCCTGGTATGCGGGACTTCAATCCCCAGCACCGAATAAAACTGGATATGGTAGCGCATACTGGAAAATCCCAGAATTGGAGTGAAGGCAGAAGAATCAGAAGTTCAAGGTCATCTTTAGCTACATAGCCAGGCAGAGGCCTGTGCTACATGAAATCCTTTCTCAAAATATAAAAAGAATGTAGGGGCTGGAGAGATGGCTCAGCTCTTAAGAGCACATTCTGCTCTTGCAGAAGATCCAGATTCAGTTCCTAGCACTCATGTCAGGGAGCTCACGACTGTCTGTAACTACAGTTCCAGCAGGATCCCCTGGTCTGGGCAGGCACCTGCACACGTGTACATGCATATAATTTAAAAAGAACAGATCTTTAAAAAAGAAGGGCTGGCTGGATGGTGGTGGCGCACACCTTTAATCCCAGCACTTGGGAGGCA